GTCTCCTGAAAAATTTCTTTCATATATGATAAATAGATTCCTGTTTCAGGTTGAGTTGATGTGTTACGTGCAAGAATTGATCCAAGCACTGGCAAAAGCTCTGGAGTACTCCTTGAAGAACGAGATCAATCTGTTCAAGAAGATCGAAGAGGAGAACTTCCAAATGATCAGGCTGACGAAACGCGAGAGGCGAACCGAACTCCTGAAGAACGTGAGAGTCAGTAAATTGTACGCAAACTTAAAACGAAATGTACTTCAGCCGAACTAAAAATTGAAATTGTGCTTCCGTCCTAGATATTCCTTTCTCAAAACATGTTGGCTTCAGAAGGTATTTGCAGACGATGCTTGTTATGGAGATTCTCCTCGTCTATAACTTGGGGAAACTTCTTTTCTCATGGTAAAAATGTGGCACACCTGTTAGATATAGGCATATGGACACCTGGTTTTGGTGTGAATCTGACCGACATGATTTTCCCTCATATCGCGCATGGATTCAGGGGCATTAATTTACCAATCGCGAGTTATCACGTAGGTAGATGCTTCTTAATAATTTTCCAATTTATTACTTTTATTCTTTCCAAAAAAAAAAAAAAAAAAATAAAGAAAATTGTTGGAATTATTAACTATTCAACTAACTATTCATTTTTCTAACTTAGTCTTTTTGATATTTTTAAAATAAATTTAGCAATAACAACTCTAGCAATTGGCACGATCTTTCATCTTTTTCACTCAATATAGAGTCAAGTTGAGCTAAGTGAAATATTTGTTGAATTATTACCTGGAAAGTAACGTTTATTATTTATCAAGCTTGGAATATTTTACGTTTCAACTTCAAGCTACATAATCGAGTGTATTATTTTAGAGTCCACCGTGGCAGATAATTTCCGTGAGCAAAACAGGCCAAAAAGTGTACGAAGGATTGGTATTCGACGCTATCAACTACCTAAGCTCGAAATTGAACTTTTCTTACTCGGTGATTACGCCGGAAGTGACTCGAAGTCTAAACTCGTGGAATACTTCTCGGTTCGCCAAGCTTGGCGAGGTGAGAATTTCCATTCGCTGTTCCTTTTCTCTCATCTCCATTGCCTGTTCAATCAATTCTCTTCTTAGAAAATTAACGAGATGACCATGTCGACTACGAGGAAAGTGCCGAAGGAAGTGATCGATTTGGTACGAGAGAAGAAGGTTCTTCTAGCTGCTTGCGCGGTCACCGTAAACGAACACCAGAAAAGCACAGTTAATTTTACTGTACCCATTTTCGTACAGACATATAGCTTTCTAACTTCCCGACCCAGACAATTATCTAGAGCTCTTTTATTCGCGTCACCATTTACCGAAGAGGTTAGTATAAGTAGAATTTGCTTAAATAATCACAATAAATTTTCAAACAGCACAGACAATCCCCGAATATAGTTAGATCATCTTCAATTAATTGTTTGATTAAAATTACGAATTTTATTCTTTGGAAAAGGAAGAATCAAGCGAAAAATTCGGAATAATTTTCCAATTCATTCTCCTCCAATCCTTTTTAAGTTAAATTATCCTCAAGTTATTACACGAGAGTAACTTGAAAATTAACTCGACAAAGGCCACGAAAATAGCTGGAAGGTAAAATCGGAGCGAACATCGTATACAATGCAACATTACCGAAGATTAGTTTCTTAATAGTATCTTACAAGGTTTTCCACAGTGACAGAAACGAATTGATGTAGTTCGTACAAAGATCGCATGAGAGATACTTCCGATGCCCGGTTCTAAAAGCGTTCGTTAATGTTTCGGCATTCCGCTGCGTAATAGCGCATAATGACACGAACTATAAAGATTGTCGTCGTTCGGTTCGGTATGTTCCGTGCTGGCATTCTCCTAACGTTCCGACTGCCTTTTAGACGTGGGCCTGTCTGGCCGTATCCATTATCATAATGGGTCCGATCTTGTACCTGGTTCACAAGTACAGCCCGTACAGCATCAAGACCTCGGGCCTCAACTCCTCGTGGCAGTGTGTGTGGTACGTGTACGGCGCGCTTCTTCAACAAGGTACCATTTTATTGTTGTCCCGTAAATCGCTTCTATTTCTCGCACGTTCACACGATGCAAGTTCCTGGTAGTTTTACTCGCCGTTGATTTTATTGTACTCCTTCGATGATCTTATCACCGATTAACGGGGTCAAATTTTCTGCATTTATTGCATTCAAATTTTATCTGATGGAATGCAGAGTACGAAGGAAGTTTATTTGAATACTTTAATATCTGAAATGTGACGTTTCGTCCTTGACAATGCTATTACCTGCTCTCATTTATTATTAAGACTATTGGTTTTTCTGTGTTACTTTTTAAAATTAACGTAAAGGTTGTTCAAATTATTGATCACACTATTCTACATTTTTGAAAGTAAATTATTATACAGTCCTTGTAGCGTGTTATTTGTATTTTTTTAAAGTCAGCCACTTCAAGGCACTTCTTTTTTTATCCCTAGAATACAAATAATTTGATTTAATAAAATATTATAAAGTTGATTAAATCGGAACTTAGACTTGACAGAGTAAGTAGATTTTCAAAGCCAGACAATTATTATCAGAATAATAATCAACACTTTAATAATTTTCATATCTGCATTCTTGACTCGATAGTCAAACACTTGCCTTCATTCTCTCTCGCATCTTTTATTTATCTTTAAAATTCAACGAGGAAAATGTATCTGCTACAAAGAAAATCGCACACCATCGAGAGGAAAGTAAAAAGGGAAAGAAAAAAATCCACAAAATTCCAGGAGGAATGTATCTGCCGCACTGTGACAGCGCTCGTTTACTGATCGGTATCTGGTGGTTGATCGTGATGGTCCTGGTAGCGACTTACTCCGGAAGTCTGGTCGCCTTTCTCACTTTTCCACGAATAGACACGATTCTAACCGTGGATGATCTGATCGTGCGTAAAGACAGGATCAGTTGGGGCTTTCCGAACGGTAGTTTCCTCGAGATGTATCTGCAGAACGCCGAGGAGCCTAAGTACCATATTTTACTGTCGCGCGCCAGGAGACATAACGACACGGAGAATGAGAAACTGCTGGAACGTATAAAGGAAGGGAAACATGCTCTGATCGACTGGAGGAGTTCCCTCAGGTATCATTTATGTCAATATCACCCGGAATTCCGTGGAAATTAACGGATCTGTCAAATAGGTTCTTGATGAGGAAGGATCTGTTGCTAACCGGAGGCTGCCATTTCTCTCTGAGCACAGACGAGTTTCTCGACGAACCTATTGCCATGATCATTCAACAGGACAGCCCTTATTTACCTGTCATTAATGCGGAGTAAGTTGCGAGGCAACTTCTGAAGAATCAGAGTCAATAATTAGTTGGTGTAGTAGTTTTGCATATGAAGTTCAACGAGATGCGACTAGCGAATAAAATCTGAATAATATTGTTATTTATATCGACAAGTTTATTTTTATACAGAATTATATTTTTTATTTTTCAAAAATTTATATAAAAAGAATTGGGTAATTTGGAGCAATTGCTCATCATTTTATTTACAATTATCGTTCGTTGGATTTTAAGCTTTTAAATATAAAGCACGTTTGTTCTAGCACGTCCCACTAGAATTTTATTTATTTTACACATTTTAAAATTGTTTTTGGAATTGAAATGGGATCTCGACAACGTAGATTGCATCGGATGCTGGAGTCTGGAATGATGAACAAATGGATCTCCGAGAGGATGCCGATGAAAGACAAATGCTGGGAAGTACCAGGAAGCAATCAGGCGGTGAACAAACGAAAAGTGAACGTCGCCGATATGCAAGGAATATTTTTCGTATTGTTCATGGGTATTGTCATTCAAATCCATCTTCCAGAGATTCCATCAACATTCTAATTAAAGAATTTCCACATTATTTTAGGCGTCACGTTGGGTTTCCTCTTTCTCTTCTGCGAGTGTTATTGTCATAGACGCAAGATTGCCAAGGAACGGAAATTGATACGTCCCTTCGTTTCGTAAATCTTACACAAGACGTGTATATACATACATATCAGGATATACAAACAAAATACAGGGACAGAATTTATTTGATGGATAAAATGGAATCTGGAAGAGGAAAGGCAAGTTTCGTTCGTTGTTGAAAAATAGCATATTTTTTTCGCTCCACCCTATAATATCTCTAGTCATACAAATTCTTTCTTCTCTTTGTTCATCAGTATTTTAACTGCACACAATTTCTCTTTGGAAAAACAAAGTCACGCAACGCACGTGTAACCGCTCTTTCTATATTTCTCTATAAGTCAGAATTATCGCTTAATCCTTCTTCTTCAAAAAAGTCGATGTAACCGGAACAGTTAAAAGTCCTTGCTCAACCTAAATTCGCGATTTTCTCGAATTTTTTTCTTTTTTTCTTTGTCAGTTGCACCGATGAAAAAGAATTGTAAACGTTCGGACAAAGAGAATCGAGAAATGTCCACGTTGGTCCATTTCTACCGATTCAATTCGCGTGGCCAAACGGGCGCGAAATGATTCTTGCCAATGAAATAGCGAGCAATGGCCCGCGGACATTCGCAAGCCATTACAATTACCATCACGAACGTTTAATTTGCGGGTAATGGTCGGCACCGGATATTGCGTGGATATCCACGCAACGTTCGAAGTCGAAAACGTTCGACTCTTTCCATGATTGGCGTTTAAGGCATCCTTTTTCATCGTTTGTTGCACGAGAACCGTGGCAAAACGTTTCGTGGATACTATCTGAGTAAAGTTCTGGTATTCTTCTGTATGACCAAATAAAAATTCGTTTAGAAATCGGTAACCATCAGAGAGACCATTCACGAGTTCACTCGGGTGGTAGAAATTTCTGTTTCAAAATTATATAAGACGGACCGAAGGCGCGATGCCTTTGTTGCGAAATGAAATGGAAATTTGTCGTCTAAAATCAAGAAGATGGACACGGTTGCTGTTCGCGCGGATATTTCGACGATTCGTTCATTGTTTCGTTGAGTCGTTAATTTTACTTGGAAGAGACTTCGCGCCTAACAAGGTTTATTGCATTGTGAACAGTAACAACCGCAGCATTGAGCAAGACTTATGACGCGTATGATTCCGTTGGCTCCCTGTTACGTTACGCTGGAAGTTGCCACAACTAGTTACTTTATTAAGATCATACTCGAAGAAGAATGGAAGTTGCAAGTGTGCGAACGCGGGAATGAAGAAAGGTCTAAGTGTTACGTCTTCGAGTATGTTTCTTCGTGATCTTTGGTAATCTAACTTCGTAGATAGCGTTGTAGCTATTTTTTACAAATTTTATAAATGAATTTTTTCTTTCGAATTTAGAGACGAGTAAACATTGTCATAATTTTCGCTCTTGCTTCAGAACTTCCGCCAGAAGGTTAATATGTTTCTACAATATTTTATTACAAAGCAAAGATTGTGTTTACCATTTGTGATTTTCACAAGAAGAATAGAAATTGTTACAAATAAGTTGCGTGGTAGTGACGCAATGCTGTAATAGCACAATAAAATTTCACAGTAATGAACTTTCAGCAAATTAAAGCAAAAATCTTTTGTATTTCATCACTCGTGCAATCGTTATCAATTTTGCACAAACTTCCAAACTTGTATCCAAAAAAACCTGTAATCTAAGCTTGGAAGCAATCGATAAACGATAAAGTTATAACTATCCTACAGAACTGAAATTGAACTCTAAAAGGATTGAACAGTATAAAATGTACAATTATATAACTTTCAAACAATTATAGAGGATTAAATTAACGAACTTTCCAATTGAATTTCACCAATTAAATTTCTACAAACTTACGAATCTCACAGATCCCAAACAAATCTCTAACAAAACTTTCAAGCAAGAATGAATAAAAATTTAATTTCTCCCAACTATAATTTCTACCGATAAAAATATAATTTCTCCAAAAATATCAATCCTGAAATGATCGAAAATGTTAGAATATAAAGCATACAATTATATAACTCTTAAATGATCATAGAAGATTGAACTTTTCAATCGAATTTCACATTCAGTCGCCATTAAATTTCTACAAACTCACAGATCACAAAA